GCGGCCAGTCCTGCTGCCTCTGGGCATGTAGCAGGGCTAGGGTGGCATGGTGGCCAGACTCAATTTATCACTTTGTGAAACAGAATTTGTGAAATACAGTGCAAAAATTCCAGAGCCCAAGACCCTGTCAAGGCTGCTGAAAAGGAATAGTTCTGCCAGGCTTCTGATCAGTAAATTAACAGGAGAATTGCTCCTATCCCAGCTACTCAAAGTTAACCCCACTATTTTCAATGCTGGCCTCCATTTGCTCCATGGAAGAAAGATGAAGGAAAAAGGATCTCAGAGCTACCAGAAGTTCATCAGTTCTCAGGCAGCTAGTCAACAGATTTGGTTTAGCAACTCACTACTAAAATATGTGTGCAGTACAGTGGGACAAGGAGCCTGAGTTGGCTCTAATCTGGTAAAATTGAGCTCTTCAGCTGTCACCTACCTTCCTCCAGAAGAGATTCTGCCTTGGGTACAATGAACACCAGGATGCAGGGGGACTGAAAACTCTTCTCCCTTCTATCCACAAACCCCTCCCTCTATGAGTAATGGTGGTGTTCAGGTTGAGAAAGGAGTTTATCATCTTCATAGATTAGATTTTAGATACCGAATCATAAAACATCTAATGGAGCAGAGCCAATACATCATTTAATGCTATAATACACATTCTCCAGGCTTCTTCAATATTCATATGTTCACTGAATTTTTCCTCATAAAAATGTAAGGGCAAAAAACTTATCTGGTCCTATTCCAATATCTTACAAAAACATCAGAGAAAAGCATACTTGTTATCTGCTATTGTAGCATTTATTTTACCATTAGGTGGCTTCTTCCTCACTTGCATTGATGAGCTCTGTCTGACTCAAAAAGTCTACAGGCCAACAAGAGGTAAGGCACTGCTAGATCTGGCACTGGCCAAAGGGGATGATGTAGTCAGTGACCTCAGGATCGAAGGGAAGCTTGTTGACAGTGATCAGGAGTTGATCACTTTCTCTATCCATCGCAAAGCTGGCAAATCGGTTAGCAATGCAGAAATCCTCGACTTTAGGAAAGCTGACTTTCACAAGCTCAGGAGGTTGGTTGTTGAGGCCCTGAGAGACCATGATCTGATAGGGAGGGGAGTCCATGATGCCGATCAGCACTCCCAGCTTCAGGAGGCACATTAGAGCCCTTACTGCCAATATACTTCCAAGATTAGGAGCAGAGATCAGTTGACTAGCTTCCTAATTGCCCATGCAGGGGATCATGATCCTGAGCTCCCCCAGCACCAGCAATATGGCATGATGGGGATCCGATTCCTGAGCTCATAATTGCATCTCTTACCATGGACATGTAGCATTTCACGAAGCATGACTGTTCAGACTGCATATCAGATTCCATGGTGCCTTTAGCTGAACATCTGCCTGGAGCCCTAGAAGTCTTAAAACTGACATGAGCCAAGTCAGTTCCATGGCTGCTATCTCTTCTCAATTTCAAGGCTTCTATCAGCACCTACGTAATCAGTTTCAAGGCTTCTAATACCATAGTACAGACAGGGACTTGCACTTAATGAGCACTGCCTATATTAAGTTAAATACAGATTCTAGATATATGTATAGCCTTTTTTCAGTCCTAAGGTTATGCACTTAAATAGAAGATGCTGTACTGCTATAAACTGAAAATTGAAAAAATCGTAGTGCGCGTGCTAGACCTGGATTTTGTAATAGGTATAAGGTTTACTTTGTAATTCGTTAGATGGAAATGAGGAAATATTTTAAATAGAACTTCTCCGTGCATTCTAGACAAGCATATTTGAGTTCAGTTTTGAGCTCCTACTGGGAAGTAAATTATTCATTGTGTCAAAGTACAAACTGGGTTCCCAGTTACGAATTAGCACTGTAAAACATATACAAAAATATGGCCTCTGTCATGAAAAGCTTATGATCCAAAGCAAAAGCAACAATATATGTATAGAAAAGAAAAAGTAAGGATTATGTAATAAGCTAACAATACTCATTTGCATAAAATCAGTAATAACAGTACACGTTATGCAAAACAACTGTTCATTTTTTGTAGACATCATGGAAGAAGATAGTTTTAAGATGCCAATAGAGGGTAAAGAAATGAGCTTTTAGGTTTTTATAGAAAACCTAGCCAATTACCCATCAAGAATGATGGGGCAAAAAGCAAGCAGGGACACAGCTCCATGCCACCCCCACATCTGGGCCCGCTCCCCACTTCCCTCCTGCTGCTTGGGGTGCAGACCCACTCCCCTGCTTCCCGCTGTAGCAGCAGAGGAAGGAGAGAAGCAGACCCGGGCCCAATGCGAGGGAGGAACAGGCTCAAGGGTGGGGAGAAGCTGGACTGCTGCAGCGGGGCGGGGGGGAAGAGGGGGCAGAGGCCCTCCCCTCTCCCAGCGATGGTGGGGGGATGGGAGAAGCAGGCTCAGGGCCGACACAGGAGAGAGGGAGGAGTCGGCCTGGGCCTGATGGGGGGAGGAGGCCTGTTCCTCCACTTCCCCTGCTGCTGTGTTGGGCCGGGCCGGGCCTGCTGCTCTGCCCCACACTGAGCAGCATGTTCGCTCCTCCCCTACAAGTCAGGCCCGTTCCTCCCACCACCACTGCCGCATTGGCCCATGTTGGCCCTGCAGGCAGTGACAATGGAAAGGAGGAGGGGAATGGAAAAGGGGAGGGGAGAGGTAGGCCGAGGCCGAGGCCAGTGCTGGTGGCCTCCCCCGCCTCAGTGTCCTGACCCAACTCCCCCCTCCCCACCACCTCCAAGGAGCAAGGGGGGTGGGGAAGACCAAATCTGGTGGCCTTTCCCCTTCCCCTGCTCCATCGTCGCCACCTGCAGGGAGCGGGGGGTGGGGTGAAGCCAGCACTACTGGCTTTGACCCCCCTCCCCCCCAGTTCTGTCTGCTCCGCTGCCACTCCGGTGGCGCTCCGCCATGCTGCCGCTTCCTGTATTCTCACGCTGACTGGTTGTTTCAATCAGCCAATCAGGGCAAAAGTAAAGCATTATGGACAGACAGACAGATTAAGGCTTTTATAATATTAGAATCTTCCCATGTAGACATGTAGTGTTAATGGAAATAAAGGTTGACATAACTGGAATAATGGAGCTGGGATCAGTGCCTCAACAGTGTATAACAGGAGGCAGCAACCTTTAAGAATGCTGTGGGCTGCCAATACCTTCTACAGTGCCCCAGCCCACCCCGCCCTGTGCCAAGGGCTGTTTTCATGCTCTGCTACTGCAGCTTCTGCTTACTATCACCACCCATTGCTGCTGATTTCCATCCTCAGTGCCAATGGGTAGCCTTAAATTCAGCAGCAACGGTAACACAGCAGTGGGATGCAGCAGACAAAGCATCTCTGCCACCATGTGCCCCCAAGCCCTCCTGCCAATCTCTTCATGGGCCATAGATTGCCAAAACCTGGTATATAAGATACAATAAATATGGAGGCAACAAATCATGATGAGGTGTAAAAATGAAGACCAGTAGTTTGCATCTGATTTAGTGGAAAAGGCAGACTGCTGGAGGGATGCAAAAAAGGTACTGTGGTTGACATGATGAGCTAGGAAAATGACCTTCCCAGCAGTTTTGAATGGGTATAACTGAAGGAATATTGAGTTGTCAAGGTCAGAGAAAAGGAGGTTATAGTGTTTGAGCTGTGACACAAGATTCTAGAAAAGAAATGTTGTTGTTGTTGGAAAAGAAAGTCTAGATCTTACAGAGGCTATACCAAAAGAAAAGACTAAATTTTGACATGCCTTTGATATAATGAGTGAGTGCCAAATTGAATAAAAAAACCCAGCTAAGAGCTTGTGTGATAGGAAGGACAGTAATATGGCTCATAGTAACTGGTAAAGGAAGGAGATAGAAGGAACTGTAGAGAAAGAGTAAGAGCTCTGTTTTGGCCATTTTGAGTTCGTGATAGCTGGATGTCCGCAGGAATATGTCAGAAAGACACGTTCTAATTTTAGTTTGAGCAGAAGACAGATCAGGAACCATCAGTATACACGTGATAATTATCAATATACAAAAAAAAATAAGGAAATTATGTTTTGAGATAGATAATGAACATATCCATTGATTAAAGTCCCTATAAAATATTCAGTATGAGAGCTCAATTAGATTCCTGGAGATAAGGCAAAGTGTGTATCAATATGGGCATATTAAATATATTCATGGATTGCTAAAGCTGGTAACATAAAAGATCTGTAGGAGGTCAGAATTAAAGGCGGAAGGATAAAGAAAACCCCAGAACATGTGGTATGAACATGTGCTAAGAGTCATTGAAAATGAAACTGGAACATGATCAGATCAGAGTTCAAAGATACTAAGATCTTCATAAGAAAAAAAATGAAATATGTGGAAATTAAATAAGCTTGGAGAAAGGTTATTACAATTTTAAATGAGGTTGATGGCTCTTCACACCCACTATTTATGGTTCAGTGAATGAGAGGCTAATTGATAATGGATAATAACTTGCTTTATGGCAAGTATTGTCCCTCTTTCTGGACAGCTAGTGATGAACAACTGTATGAAAGAAATTACAAGATCAGTTTTAGTTTTAATGGGTATCACTTGACTTTTATTTGTATATTTCAGTTTCAAAATGATTGAAAACACACTGTTGTAATATATTAAAAAGGGAAGCTGCTGTTTAGCTTTTGGTTAGCATACAGAGCCTGAATGGAAAGAGAGTTATAGTTCAAAGTTATGGTAATCATGGATCTAGCAAAAGAACAAAATACATATGAAGAGATTGCATTGTATGCTTACAATTAAAAATAGTTAAACCTTTTCTCTTATTATACTTTCTTGTGTGAAAATACTTACTTTCACCTACTATATGATATATTTGCAATTTAAGTCTTTTCAAATTACTGTATGCATCATTTGTACCTATATTTCCACTTAAATTATTACTTTACTGTTTTTATTACACTGGTATATTTTAGTGGGCTAAAATATTCCTTCATCAAAATACATCTTGCCCTTAATTTAAATGCTCTTTCTGTATCCTACTTACCTGAAGGTATGTTATTCTCCTCTGTACAAGGTCTGTTAGATCTTTGGCCTCTTTTTCTCGCCATTCACCTGCTCCATCTGTTTGACTGAGGTAGTACAAATCTGTCATTATCGACCTAAAAAAGGCAAGCAACATTGGAAAGCTACCTTAATACTACTAAATTAGAGGGTTAGATAAAGCCATAAAGAAAAATGAAACTGAATTTCAGCTTACAATTACACTGATCTACTTAAATGTACATTGAGTGGGCAGAATATACAATTACATAAACAGAAATGTGCGCGGTTTTTTTGCCTATAGATCAACACGACTAAAATCTTTATGCTTGCAACATGCAAGATATCGCAATTAGTCACTCTGAAATGGAAACTTCATAATTTCTATAAAAAAGAAGCAAAAATCCAACACCTATTCTCCAGCCAGCTCATTCTTTGAGCTGCAATTGCACACCTGAAAAACAGTCTCCACACTACAGAACTACTTCAACTAGGAGATTCATTCCATCCGACTCTCTCCTGTATAATAGAAAACATCTTACCAAGAAGGAAGGAAAAAGAAAAATTCAACACCCAGCTTACCATCAGACAACTCGGAGGTAAACAGACTGCTTGAACTTTTTATCTGAGGCTAACTTGCATAAAAGTAAATGTTCCACCCAGGGGAAACTATGCCATTTTTTTCTCCTGTGCAGTATGAATTTTCCTTTCGACCTGGGAGAAATATTACAATATGCGCTTTCTCCTTTGCCTGAGGAAGGGCGTGTGAGCCTGAAAGCTTGCAACTAAAATAATTGCAGCTATTTAGTTGGTCTAATAAAAGATATCACCTCTACCAAAGTTCTGCACAGAATGTGTGTGCATGCACCAGACAACACTAAACTAATTGGACTGTTGGTACAACTCAGCTTCAGTGGAGTCTACCTCTCTCTGTATGTATTCCCTCTGTGCACCACAAAGAGGTATCCAGAATACAGCCCACATTCTATGATTTTGTGTCCTCTAATTATCATATTTTTACTCATCCATTCCTATAGATATGGAGTAGGAAAACTTTTAATCCCACTGCACAGAATGTTTCCATTTCGTGCTGAAGGAAAGATGTATATTTTTCCAAGAGGCCAAAAAACATTAGTTCCATGATAGATATGAATTTCACTGACTCAGGGAGAGAGAAAATCTGTAGGTAATATCTAAAGTAGCTTCTCTGACAATGTAACATTACATGGTGATCAAAACAAAGCTTATTGTCTTTATATAATGTAGCACTATAAGTGTTATGTGACAGATACTTAGCTGAGTTAACTATAATCCTGACAAAGGTTATATTATATTGAGGTAGTTTTATTAATATTGTATAAATATTAAATAAAAATCTACAATAAAGTTATGAGAGAGGCAAGGATTTTTGTAGGTGATATTTTATTAAACCAACTGCATGTTTGGGATAGATTTAGACAAGCTTTTGAATGAACTACATTCTTTTTCAGGTCTGGAGTCTTCTTCAGGTCCTCACACGTCTATCCCAAAACATAATACTTCTCAGCCAATGCACCAAAAGCCCTCGGGTAAACTATGTAGGTGAAACTGGACTAAATGTATGCACTGTAATGAATGATTATCAGAAAAAAATTAAGAGCAGAGACACAGAAACAGATGTAGGAGAACATGTCACAAAACAACCACTTACTTTCTAACCTTACTATCCTCTTGGATCAAGGGAAATCTACAAAATGCCTTCAAAAGGGGAACCTGGGAACAAAAATTCATAAGCTGGATGGGGACTAAGTCCAAGGTCTGAACACTAACTTCACAGTTCACTATAATATACCTGATTCCTGATAATCTTTCTTCACACCATGGATGATAACAACCTTCCCTTTTCAAAGGTCTTGATCTTCCACTAATCAAACCATCTTGTCCCATTTGCTAGCTATTCCAAAGAATAGCTATGACCCAAAAAGGAATTTCATGGCCTGGCAGACTATTTTTAGTCATTGCTGTGCCTGCATTTTACTCAGACCTAAAGAATAATGGATTGCATTAGAAAACTTGCCTAAGTTTATCCCAACCATGCAATTGGGTCAATAAAATAGATTACTCACAAAAATCCTTGCCTCTCGCATATTTCCTGGATCCTCGCAGCTACATCACTCCAACTTTACAATAAAGTAACAAATTTAGCTTAGAAACAATGTATTCTGTCTCTTTGGGAATTGTCAGATATGAAATAGTAACTTATCAGCACTGAGTGGATAACTGCATTTTAGAGCCCAAAGAAGGGCAAAGTACGAGCAATTCTAGCTGTCAGAAAGGAGCAGCAACATGGTATTGATGCTGGAAAGGGGGAAGCCCAACCAGCAGGAAGGAAATTAAAATATCCAAAATATTCACAACAACTTGGCAGAGGTTTTGGTTTTTTTGGTTGAAAAACTTTTCAGTCAGGAGGGGAAACCCATTCTGAGGAGGGGAAGAAACAGAGGCAGACAAGCAAGTGGTAGGAAGCTGGTTTGGCAAAATCCTATAATCACAGTATAGCACTGTTTTGAAGTCATGGTTATTCAAACCCTTGGTCAAAGGACAGTAAGGAAATGGAAAATATTAAGATACTTGCAGTACTTATTTTGTCTTCTCTACAAACACCAGAGAATAAAGTGGTGTCCACAGTTAAAGTGGCTTATGACTTCCCATTATAATACCAACATTTTTTACAGCTTTGATAAACTTGAACTATTTGAGAGAGATGCATTTAATTTGTTCTTTATGGGCGAGAGTTACCAGTGGATGGAACACCCCTGCTCTAGGGGCAGTATAAGACACACCAATTGGCCGCATTCTAAGGCACTGGTACTCCAGAATTCCTTGGCTGAAACTATCCCTGCTAGATAGGTTTGTTGCCAGAGCTGCACCACAGAGAATTTCTCTTTGGCTCACTTCCAGACTCCCTGCAGTGCACACTGCCTCTGTGCTGCCAAACCTTGAGGAAAAAAGAGAAAAAAGGGGAGGAGGCAGAGCCGCAAAGAAAATGCCCTCCTCCCACTAATGAAGTTTCTACAAGTAGGATTTCAAGGTGAGGTTAAATACTATAATTAAACCATATTACGGTCACTTAAAACACAAGTATCCCCACGTTAACACTTATTAACAAGTGCTAAGTGCCCTCTAGACATCATAAAGCTAAGCACTTTAGGGGATATCTTTGAGCCCTGCTACCCAGCTTGAGTTATCTTATAGTCAGGCTACTCCAATGAGATAAAATGAAACAACCAAATTGTAGTCCTCCAACATCACAGGAGACACCACTTTCAGCATGGATTAGCCATCACCAGAAAGCAATGGCCCTGGACTAACAGCGAAGGGACAGCCAAGCAGTAAGTGGGGTTTGGGGGGAACATGGAAGGGAAGGCAGAAGTGGAGGGGGACATGGGTAAGGAGAAGTAGGGGGCAGGGTGAGGGAAGGAGTGGGGGAATAAAGATGGAGAGAGGCAGGGAGGTGGGGAATGGATGGGTGGGTGGGGAGCTGTTGACCAGCTGCATGATGTAAGAGGCAGGTGGGTGGGCCCAGAGGCTCTCCACAGGATCACTTTGGGCCCCCTAGGCCCAATCCTGCCCCCATTAGGTCCCATGACTGCCCAGCAGCATCTTTTAAGGAAACGGCAGAGGCAGGGAGGAGTGGGTACTGGGGCTGGAGCCACACTGTAGGCCTCATCTGGCCAGCGCTGGGGCTGAGCAACAGTGCAGGAAGGGGAGGGGTTCCCTCTCCCTGCCTGCTACCAGGCTCCCTGAAGCACATGCCACCCCCATGCTGCCCAGCTGCTCCTTGAAGAATAAGGGGAAGAAAGGGGGAGGAAAGAAGTGGGTGGGCAGAGAGCTGCCAGGCAGCCATGGAAGGTGGACAAGACAGAGGCCCAGCAGCTTCCCCTGAGCCCATATCAGGCCCACACCACCCCTGCCAGGCTCCACAGCTGCTTAGCAGGTCTTTACCTACCCCCTCTTCCCCCTTTTCCCTAACAAGGAGCTCATAGGCAGTTGCTGGGGGTGGGGGGGTCTTACAGGTGAACAGGCAGCTGCCAGGACCTTGCAGGGAGGCATGGGCCCAATCCAGGGGATCAATGTGTGCTGCAGGGAGCCTTGGAGCAGCCACAGAAGAGGAGACCCCCTGAATCACCTGCTGCTGCTTTGGACTGATCTGCATGGTGGGGGGCAAGGAGAGCAATCAGGGATGGGGGTGGGGGCAGTTGGTAAGAGGAGTAATCCTAACAATGCGGGGGAGATCCAAGAAGTGCAGGGGAGAGAGGGACTGCCTCAGCTATGTTGTAGCTAGAGATCCGGAGAGCTGAGCAAGCACAGAGCGTACTTGACAGCTCCAAGACACATCCCTGTTCACCATCCCTCTGGTGGCAGGTCAAAGCAGTGCACATTAGAGAGGATCAATTCTTAATGTGCGACTGCTCACAGCATGTGCTAACACTAGCTAACATTCTTTAGAGTCAGCACGTGCTAGTTGTAATGCATAACTAACTACACCCTTAAAATATCTTCTAGGATCTTGCTTTCAAGTGAGATCGGGAGCATTTACACTGATTGTTTGGTCATTACATGTTGTTATCTCCAATGAATTATAACAGGAGTCTATAAAACTTACTGCTGTATTAAACATTCTGCTTGGAAATTGCTGTTACATTTTAAATCAGTTTTGTCATTTTTATTTTCCAGTCTCACACGCTAGGCCCTGCCCTGCCTTCCATGAGTACAAAATTTCCTATACAAGTCTGGGTTATACTTTTCCTACAGTATTTTAAAATTAGATAACTACCTCCAAATTGGTAAGTATTAGAAGTCTACACAAGGCTCAAAATTAGATTAAACCAGTTTAGAAATGATAAGCATAAGACAAACTCTAATATTATAAAAGCCTAAGTCTGTCTGTCTGTCTTCCTGTAACACTTCATTCGCACTCAGGGCGAGGCCGGGGAGAGCGGGTCTGGATCCCAAGCAACAGGAGGGAAGGGGGAGTGGGCCCGGATGGAGGGGGGAGGGGGCAGGGCTCAATCACTGCCCGTTTCCATCCCCGCCCCTCTGTCATTCTTGATGGGCAATTGCCTAGATGTTTAATAGT